TCAGGTTGTCTGTTTGAGGATATTGATACTAAATTTGTGTGTCTTCATTAGTTTAGTAAAATTGTAGACATAACTGAATGAATTATGTAACATTTTATTTTTAATTTGATTTATTTGGCTACAGGATATCAAGGTATGAGTCAAGATATAATAAATAACCTTAAAACATCAAAAAAATCAGTTTAAGTATATCTGTAACTGATGTACCAATCCTGACTGAGGAAGGCGTTTGATTTAAATATTAACAATATATTGCTTTAAGTTGGGCCTTTTTGAAAACACTTTTTGCTTATTGAGTCAAATATACTTATTGACTCTGCAATATATGTTTCATGATTTAATTTTGGATTCAGAGTTCCTAAAATTGATTTGAAAGCTGTACCAAACAAAGAAGAGGATAGAAAAAGATAGTAACTGTCATCCACTTTCCTGTCCCAGCTACTCTGGAAGTTTGTGTTTAGGCAATTATATGATTGGATTCTGAAGCCTCAGGATGCAGATAACCTTTTAAAATACAGGGGTGGTGCACTTATGTGTCTGTAGGAAAATCAGTGTTTTTTATGCTTACTGAGTGGAAAACAGAGTTTGAATTGTGAAATGTTTGTCATTAAACAAATCATGTTGAGGTGACCACATCCACAGCGGCCTGCAACCGGGATGGTGTTCACACATAGAAAGAATGTGAGGAGTAATGATTACATTAAAATGGAAGCTTGCTACAGTTCTACAACTGAGAGCTTTTGATGCTGTTTTTGAAAAAAGCTTACTTTCAGGGGCAGGTGGCTTAGAGCCTTAATATTGAGCCCTACTCTTGGTCTCCACTCTTGTGTCTTGACTTACTGATTCTCTTTTGTTGTGCAAATTTAGCTAGTCCCTGGTAGCTTCATCTCATTTTTAATGTCAATATTTATTCATTTGGTTATACTTAAAAACTTCAAGGGTCAGAATGGACAGAAGAAATACCAGATCAACCTAAAGAGTCACTCGGGCCCCATCCACGTACTGCTTATAAATAAAGAGTCCAGTTCGTCTCACCCCGTGGTTTTTCCGGTCCCCCCACCAGACGACCTCACACAGCCCTCTTCTCAGCCCTCGACTCCCCGGACTCCACACAAGCCCAGCCAGGCCACTCGGAGCCCCTCTGGGCAGCCCACATCTGAAAGAGACCAGGTCCCCCAGCACGTGCCGGCCTCAGACTTAGCTTCAGGTGGGCCCAGAGCCTTTGTTTTAGAAAGTCATTGGTTGTCATGTGACTCTATTATCTGATACAGGAGGCAAATAGCTTAGTTTAATCAATACATATTAGTATCTTAATATGTCCAGCATGGGGACAAGTTTTATGAGGGAAATTTTAAAATATTTTCTTTTTTATATACATATTAAGATCTTATTTATTTTTAGAGAGAGGGGAACGGAGCGGGAGAGAGAGAAACATCCATGTACAAGAGATACATCGATTGGTTGCCTCTCACACGCCCTGAACTGGGGACCTGGCCTGAAACCCAGGCATGTGCCCTGACTGGGAATCGAACCAGCCAACTTTTCAGTTCTCAGGCTGGCACTCAGTCCACTGAGCCACACCAGCCAAGGCTATATTATTTATTATTAAATATTTTATTGTAATTACATGTATTATCATATGTTTTTTAGTTATTACTGCAGATTTAAGATACATTTTTTACACACACCATCCAATTGTATATTCAGAAACATACAATGTATAGAATGTAATGTTGTTGAATCTGTATATAGAACTATAAATACTCAGCAAGGGTATACTGTTTAGTGGATCTAAAGCTCAGTTTTCTTTGGGATTCCATTCTCAGAAGTAGCCAGAACCCCTGTTACTATTTACACGTCTACATTTTATCTGAGGTTTACTTTGTACAGCTATCTCTCTTAGTACCTTGAGGATAAATTATTGACATGTACTCTAACCACCTTGAAGAACAGTCGGGCTATAGAGCATGCAGTGACATAATGCCTCCTCTTCCTTCATTCTTCATTGTTTTACTTGTATCTGGAAAGCATACCTGCTCAGTAAAGGACAATACCTGTCTAGACAGAGTGCTGCAGATTATTCCAAGCTGCACTGTACAGAGTTTTATTTGTACCTTGGGACTTGTCTTGGGTTGTGGCAGGAGACTGCTATCCTGGCTGTCCATGGGACTGCAGGGTGAAGCTGTAAGGGTCCGACAGCACGTGGAGTGTCACTCAGCATTGTGCTCCCAAACCCTCCCTCCTGTGCTGTCAGAATTTCTACATTAGATCACGAGGGTCATGACAGAAAGTCTGGTCCTTAAAAAACCTGTCCTCTAAGTATAATCTAATGGGGATGAAGAAGGCAAGCAAGCTTTTTAAGACTTAACTCAGATCCAGTTAGTATATCACTTCCAAAGCATTCAAAAAATTCTGAGCAGTTTCTATATATGATTTTGTATTTGGAAGTAGTAAGGAAAGTAATTTGGGGCTAGATTGAAGAGGGCTTTGAATGTAAGACTGAGTGAGGAGGTAGTGGATAGCCAGTGAGGGTCTGTGACCAGAGAAGTGGTCTGTGGAGGAATGCACAGTGCGCCGACCGCCATGGGACATGGTTAGGGAGAAGGTGCCCAGGAAGCGGAGGGCATAGGTACTTGTGCAGCTGTGAGAACATTAAAGCCAAAGTACCATCGTGACAGTGGGCACAGAAAGAGAAATGAATGCATGAGAAATACTGTTTAGGCAAAATAAGTACTACATGATGTGTGAGATCTGGAGATAAAGCTAACAGGAGGAACAGAAAGTGACAATTTAAGGTCAGGTGATGGAGAATTACAGCACCACTGACTGTAAAACCCAGGAGTCTGTTTTGGGAGGAGGTTGATTTTGGTCTACATCTTGAGTTCGGAAGTCTAAAACCAAACAGAGTAGGTGTGAATGAAAGTATCTTTCCACAAAGTTCTAGTATGTTACTTTATGCTGTTAATGAAGCTGCTGCTCTTTTAATATACTTAATATATACTGTGTTGAAATACAACAGCCTTTACTATTACAGAAATGTCACAAAATGTTTATCACGTTTCTCTTTCCAACAGGATCTGTTAGTGGGGATATCATTGATGAATTGATGTCTTCTGATGGTAAGTAATTTAAAATTTTACTACCTACCTTATAATTAATACATTTTTCTGGAATTTATAAATGGCACATCATTTATTGTTTACTTAATATACAAGGAAAAGTCATAAAAACATTCTCCTTTAATGTTTTAAGAGTAAATCATAGGCATCCTCTTGCATTTGTCTTTGCCTGCGTTTCAAGGGAAGACTCCATGAGGGTACACTTACCCTACACTGAATAAACTTCTAAGCTGGTGGCACAGTAGCCCTTTCATTCCTCAAGAATCTGGCCAAGAACTGTAAAATTATATAAGTGCACAAGTAATCAGTCTGAAAACCCAGTTTTGTGCCCTGGCTCCTGTGACTTGGTTGGAGTGTCATCCCATAGACAAAGATCATGGGTTTTGATCACCAGTTGGGGCGCATATGAAAAGGTAACCCATCAATGTTTCTGTATCTCTCCTTTCCTCTCTAAAAGCAATGAAAAAATGTCCTTGGGTGAGGGGGAACAGAACAGCTTTGTAAGTTACCCCCGCTACTGCAGGACATGAACTGCACTGTTCCTGACACAGGCCATATCATCATATAATACAAAATCCTTCCTAAAAATCAACAGCTACAATATTGTAATTATTTCAGTGATAACTCTCTTGGTTTCACCTTTCTATAAGTTCTTAGATTTAGAGTTCTGGCCCCTAACAACTACAGCCGAGACCTGGGAAGGAGCAGCCGTTAAGTTAGCAAATGGAACCGTAACCACTTCGATTCCTTCAACATTTCTAAAGAAATTATTAATTTCTTCACAATTATTGAGTCTACCAACACAATTATTAAACTAATTCTAGTTCCTTATTCTGTTTTCAAAGTAGTAGTTCATTTAGCAGATCAGAGAAACTACTTGGACCCATGTTGTTGAATGATGTTATTTTAGTGGCAAGTTCAACCAGTAAAAATTTTAACCTATTTCTCAAGCTTATGCTTATAATCAATGCATAAATTATCTTTCAAAACACACACTAAACAAATCGTTAATTCAGTCTTTACTTTTCCTAGTGTATATTTTAAATTCTTGCATAACATAGAAACCATAATTAAATGGATGGCTTTATGTTTTGTGCATTAGAAGCTGTTGTTAACCCTGAACTTGTGCTTTGTTTGCAGTGTTTCCTCTCCTCCGGCTCTCTCCCACCCCAGCAGATGACTACAGCTTTAATTTAGACGATAATGAAGGAGTGTGTGACCTGTTTGACGTCCAGATACTAAATTATTAGATTCAGTGGAAACCTGGGACTATTATCTACCTCTAACTATGTAATATTGTAGACTTCCTAATAACCTAAGTATTTATAATGAACGTAATACTTGTTTAGTTCACTGATTTTTAAGTCTTCTTTCCTAGTACTTTCTCTCTTACTTCACAAAACTTCAACCATGAACAGAAAGGGCTCTATTGCTTCAGGGTAAAGTGGTTTAATACCCACCCACGCCCCACCCTCGAGAAACTGCATTCTGAGACTTCAACTTTTCTTACAATTCTGACTCCTGTTTTTTAACTCTTTGAGAGGAAAGTTAAAAGTAGACTTAAATTAAGGTCATCAAAAACGAAAATGTTGGCCAAGGGCTCATTACTTATATGTGTTACGCTTTTACTGCCAGAAAACTTTCGGTATTTCTGTGTGCTCCAATCCAGACAGACATTCACTGCCATAAAAGTATAAAGTGAAGGGGTGTAGACTAAGATATAGTCAGTTTCCGTGAACAGAGTTTGTGAAGTGCCTTCTGTTTTAGCACTTTAAGTTTATCACGTTTGGTTGACTTCTGACATTCCACTTTCCTAGATTATAGGAAAGATGTTTATGTAGTTCGTTTTTAAAATGTGCCAATGCCTGTACATTAACAAGATTTTTAAAAATAAAATTGTATAGAACATTTAATTTATTGGTGTTTTGGGGGAATTTGATGCATCACCAGTGCATTACAACTGAGCCATTAATCTAGTAGCTTCTTCAACATTAACTGGTTCGTTTTCATGACACTGCTGAGGAATCTGGAGGGAGGAAAGAATTATACAGTAGTTAAAAATTTTGATAAGAATAGTGGACAAAATGACATATAATCTATTATCCAATTTAATTTCTTCTAGTCATACCTTTGGACATAGAACAGTAAGTTGTCATGTTTATACTCAATGTTTTATGAATATGCTGTATATACTGTACAGCCACATATCCCAGAGAGCCAAGCACTAAAAATTGCATGCAACTTACAGGTTAGGAAATTTGGGATTTAATTTATTAGTCTTTAGTTTAGTTAAAAGAAGTGATTTCTACCTACCAGCTGTTTCTGCAGAGATTCGAGGGAAAGGCCTTTTGAGAAGTGAGCAAGCTCCTTCTGTATATCAACAAAAGCTTTATTCATTCTGTTAACTTTTTCATCATTCACAATGTTTATCTTTTAAAAAAAGGAAAAGAACATTAATCCACAATCTGCTGACCATTAAAGTTAAAATATATTCAACCTCAATTTAACTTTTTTAAGGCTAAAATCTAAAAAAACTTAACTGTACCAATTTGCAGGGATAATTCACACTAAAACTATTGGTCTTATTGGGAAATTTTAGACAAAAGTTTCTATTTAAAAAAAAAAAAAAATTATGTGGAATATCCATACCTTGATTTCACTGGTACACAAAGACCAAAGTAGGGACCACACTCTAGACAGAGCTGTCATCTCTCACCCGTGAAACAAGCAGCCTGGATCCCATGCTTAGTGTCCTGCTAGCAGTACCTCTCAGCCCCTCCTTGACTGCCTTGATGGAAGTCCCTGGCAATCTGAGGCCAACCATCTGGCAGCCCCTCTCTGTTAAACCTGAACAGTAGGATAGCGGTCCTGTTCTTGCTGTTCCCAAGCCATTTCTCCTTCAAAACTCAGCTTCTGTGTACCTGTTACCCCCCTCCCTTCCCACTGTCGCCTGCCATCTCCAGGATTACTTGTTCCTTCATGAAAGTTGTTGAACCTCAGCTCACTGACCTCTCAGACCTGGCATCACTACTTTGTGGCTTCAACAAAAACCTAAGGCCTCAACATCTCTCCAGGTCCCCATCTCCTGTCCTCGTTAACCTATTCACAATTCTTAAAATTTCACTAAACTTTGATTATTTTTCACTTTCCTACCCACCCTCACTTTTCCCTTTAGCCAGCACAAATCCCATGACTATTATTTCATCAGTCACTTAATTTTCCTTAACTTCTCTGCCTTAGCTATATTTGTTTGGCAACCTAGTTAACCATCATACTTTAATGAGCCTAAAACTGAAGCCATAGAAAATCATAATTGGGTGATTGGCTTCCCTTTAAATCCATGGCCACAAACCAACCAATTTACCATTTTACATGGTGCCTGGCATCCTTATGCCATCCCCTCATAAGTTAGGCTAACTTCTGAGAAAACACCACCTCCAGGCTGCCTACCCGCAGACTTCCCTCTCTTTGCCATTTCCCACCAGCATACGTGAGGCTTCCAGCACTTCCATCTAGTGAAATAATATTCAAGGCCTTGCTGTCCTCTGCCTGGAATACACTGCTCCCAGCGCCTCCTGGCTCTGCATCACTACTAGCTCCTTATCCCTCAGGTCTTGGCTCCAGTGTCAACTCTGAAGACAGTTCTATGTAAAATTGTCACTCCAAAGCCCCATCATATCACCCAGCTTTATTTCCTTTATAGCATTTCCAAAGTCATAAAACTGCTTGATCAAAAAGCTGAACTCAGTTCATGAAAACTGAAAAATGTTACATTTCAATGGATTATTATGATAATTACCAAGTCTTGAAGAGCTGCCACCATATACTATTTAAGCTTGAAAACATTTTCTTGAGGAACCTACAATATCTTGATGAAGAAATTTCCCATTTCCCAAATATTTTGAGTAAAAACAAAGAAGATAAACTTTTCAAAATCTGCATTTTAAGAAATAAAATATTGTATCTTCATTTGACAGGTTCTTGAATATGTACGAGTTCAGAGGTAAGAACTGGTTCTGATACCAGGTTTGTTTTGGTTTTTTTTTTTTTTTTCTGTACTCCAATAACACTCTCAAACTGTTACATGGAGCTTCACACATTTGTAATGAATTTTTTTTCTTTTTGTACATTTGGATTCAAGAAAGAGATGTTATTTTTCTCCATATTTTTAAACAAATGTTTAAAATCCTCTTGCCCATGCAGAAAGGGCTAAGAACCTGTTTTAAATAAAAGCATTCAGTTTCTCAGTAGCTTAACCATTATGCTTTGCTTGTAGACATTAAAGTGAGGTTGCTTAATACTCACCTTCTTAAGATTAGTGGTAACTGGTTTTGCTTTACTCTTAACCTTAAAGTTTTTTTGGCTGGCTATGTGAAATACATTCCTGGACTTCTGCCCTTTTCGTTTGTTCTTGGCCATTGTCTAGAAAAGAAAGAAAAGGCCATAGCTGGTGTGGTTCAGTGGATTGAGTGCCTGCCTGCGAACCAAAAGGTTGCTGGTTTCATTCCTACTCAGGGCACATGCCTGGGTTGTGGGCAAGGTCCCCAGTAGTGGGTGCTCAAGAGGCAGCCACCCATTGATGTTTCCCTCTCTTCCTTCCCCTCTCTAAAAATAACTAAAATCTTTAAAAAAAGAAAGATAAAAGGAGCTCAAGCTGCCCGCATTTATGACTATAAATCGATTTAAGTTTTTAGAGTAAAGGGACCAATTAAAATCTAAGAAATTCTATCTTACGGCTGATTATTTTTAAAGTTGCTGTATATATTAAATTATCTCCATGTCTTTTGCCACCTTTACATTTTCTGCTGTTGGAGTGCAGAGTAGGTATCTAATTCTTTTCTGTATCTCCAGCACCTGGCCCATTGAAGATGCCACAATCACTTCTGCTGGTTGAATTATTAACATCAACACAATAAGACTGATTCCCTTCTTTTTATTCTTGTCTACTTGCCCCGCTTCCTCTCCACTGTGCCCTTCCTCAAAATCAGTCATTAATCTTGCACTTCCTACCTCCCCTTCCCTTAAACTACTTTCATGACTTTCAGGTCACCCTTCTGTGAATGGCTCTTGCCTTGAAACTTCAGACAGATATTCTTTGTTCTATAGCCAAACGTGCACTAAGCCTGTAAATTCAACCTTACATCTCTCCAATGTTTTTAACAATGCACATGAACAATCTTTAAAATATTAGTAAAGATTTGCTAGGTGTACCATGCTTATGTTTTGTGTGCTTTGACTAATTTAATCCTCATAACACTTTGTGGAAGATACTGTTTATCCCCATCCTACAAACTTAAAAACAAAATTAATGCAAAGGGAAGTTAATGTGCCCATTATCACACTGGGCATAATCAGGGAATGCCAAGAATCAAAGCTAGACCTAGTAGCCTCTCCTGTACAGGAAGGGGCATAAGTAGGTTTACAGCTCTAAGTATGTGACACAGTTTATTCTTGTGTTATTTATTAATTATTGTATTACTTTCCATACAGGCAACTAAACCTACCTTTGGCCAACCTTACTTAAATTAAAATGCAATAAAAAGTATGACATAATATTTACTCAGTTACTGCTACAGTCCCTAGGTCTATTTGGTTAAACCACTGGCTGGGCAAACTATACCTACAGAGCAAATCACGTCAGGTACCTGTCTTTGTAAAAGTTTTATTAGAATATAGCTATGTCCATTCAATTGTGTATTGTCTATGGATGCTTTCCTGCTACAATTGTGTCCCACAAAGCCTAAAGTATTTACTATCTAGCTTTTTACAGAAAGATTGCTCACCCCTGGCTTGAGCCACATGCATTCAAGTCTATCCAGCATTATCTACGACATGAACCTTCCAATATTAAAAACAGTGACGGCTCCTCCAGGGCACAAGAAGCAATTTGCTCTGTCCTTACTGATGGTACCTAGGATCCAGCATACATCTGTCACACTCTCCCCTGCTACCTCTCCATATTGCATCCACCTGCTCTGCATATTGTTCTCTGAAGATACCTGAACATCCTGGCTTCCTTCCCTTTGCTCACATTGTCTCTCTCAAGTTTACATCCCCCACGTCTGACCTCAGGCAACTACGTAACAGCAACGCTTTTGACCCCAATAGTACTTAAAAATAATGAACACGATAAAAAAATACATTAATATAGAAGAAACAACATACACATAATAAATTCCCCCAAATTAAATGATCTACAATCCTTCCAATAGTAAATAAAATCCAACCAATTATCTAGTACTCATTAATCAATTACTATATACCAGATGTGGCACAGACAAGTAATGATAGGTGCTGTCAAAGGCAGGTTCGTGGAGGTAATACTCTCTTGGGGGGGGGGCGGGGGCAGGGAATATCACTGGCAACCACGTGTAAACCATGATGACAACAGACACTAAAAAAACTGGTCCCAAGCCCAGGGCTGATTCCCACCCGCCGGCACGCCGCCGAAAAGGGCTTCCAGAGAGAGCGCGGCGAATCCGGATCCCGGGCTGCAGCGGTGCGAGGCCCGCCAGCCCTGTCCCAGCCCCAAAACTACCCACCACCTTCTCCCGAAGCAGACTTCTGACATACTCACAGAACCGCCCTAGTTCCCGGTAACAGGAAGGATCCAGGAAGTTCTAGGAGAGATAGCCAATTAAGCTTCCTCTCTTATATTTGGTTCCACCCACCAAGCAGAGCTCAGTCCATAAAGCGAAGTCTCATTCGTGAATCAGCTCGTGGACAGACAAGCTCCGCCCACAGAGCGGGCTTCCCACAGTCTAAATGAAACCCTGCCCATCAACGTAATAGATATGTTTCCGTCCTTCAGCAAGTTCCCGCCTCCTGACGTAGTCCCGCCCCCAGGGCCCTTTCTCGTTTCCGGGCACTGTAACTGAGCTCGCAACACCCCGCCCCTAGAGTGAAGACCCGCCCACCATGGGAAGTCCCGCCCCCAGTTCCCCAGGTCTTCGCGTTAGGAACGCCTCCTCGTCACCGAGCGGGGAAGACTTCACCCGAGCAGTGGTCCCCGCCCGCTGCTCCGGCGGTGTCTTCGCTCCCAGGTGGGGGGACTTACATACACCCCAGGTGGTGTCTACGCGCGAGGAGCCGCAGTGTTTTTGGGGGGAGTGGTTTCCTTCAAAGCAACCTATGGAACAGGGAAGGGTGCAGGGCGATATGAAGATGCTGTCAAACGAGGATCAGGGAGCATCAGAAACGCAGAGGAAACACGTCTGCCTTCAGGCTGTGTATTTACAGACTTCCCACTTAAGACCTCTAGGTTGACTTTTCTAGGAAAGTGATCCCGTGCTTCCAAGATCATCTCTGCATTAAAGTGTCACGTATTTCCCTAATTCCTTTTTGCCGTCGTAGAAAAAAAGCCAGGTTTCAAACAAATGTATACGTACTGACATTTCTATGTCATTTTAAATAGAAAACAGTTAACCATTTGTAGTGAAGGGAAATGACTTCCGCAGGACGCAGATCTCAGGCGTTAGCTGTTCACTCTGCATTTTCTTTCTTTCGTTCTTCCTCTTCTTTTTTTTTAATGCTTTACAGTTGTTCCAGTTATTTTTCTCTTGGCCCCACTCCACCCAGCTCGCCCCCTACTTCCACAGTCAACCCCAACCCCGTTGTCCATGTCTATGTGTCTTTCATATATGTTTCTTGACTAACCCCTTCATCTTATTTCAAACAGCCCCTTTTCTCCTCCCCTATTACTACTGTCAGTCTATTCTGTGATTCTATGCCTCTGGTTCTATTTTGCTCATTAATTTATTTTGTTCATTAGGTTCCTCTTATAAGTGAGATCATATGGTATTTTTCTTTCACCAACTGGCTTGTTTCACTTAGCATGATAGCCTCCAGTTCCATTCATGCTGTTACAAAAGGTAGGAATTCTTTCTGCTGCATAGTATTCCATTGTGTAAATGTACCAGTTTTTAATCCACTCAGAAGAACTTATGCACCCCTATGTTCATAGCAGCACTATTTACAGTAGCCAAGAGTTGGAATCACTCTGCATTTTCTATAATTCAAATGTCACACGACCTGTATGTCTGCTTGTCTGCAATCATCCATGCAGTCCGCCAGGTCTCTTACTCTGTCACGTTTGTATCTCACCCAGGGTTCCGTATTTCCAGTGCACAGAGCTGTGACATAACATTTGCTCAATGAGAGAAAATTCCCTGATGTGTAAAAAGCAAGGATTGTAGCCAGTACATGGAAAATGATTCTAAAGTGACAAAGTACCTAGAGGAACACTTCTTTTTATCTCTGTTCCTTGAAGCAATGGGTGCTCCACAAATGTGTTTCAATTTAAAGAAGCAGATTTTATCCAGAGTAATCTCCTGGCTGAATACCTAGAAATCCCAAACCTGAAATAATGACAGTCACCAAAGACATATGTAATAACTGAAGGTTGGAAATGGTCAAATATATATCACAAAGGCCATAAAAATATTTATAGGGTACATGAAGTCCTTCACATTTTATGATGCTTGGTTAAAATGAAAGTAAAGGTTTAAAAAGGACAGGAATTGTGAAACAGCACGTACATGTTTAAAACCCAGAAAACTGGCAAGGACAAAGAATGGTGTTTGTTATTAAACTGGGATTTAACACTCTAAATTTCAGCAATGTTTAAAGAAAAAAAAAAAGGATGCTGTGCTTTGTAATTATCAAGTTTAGTTGATAAGTAAACATTCAAGCTTTCTAAAGCTCAACAGTGATTTTGTTTTTCAGTTAAAATTGTTAGTTTTCACAGACCAAAGTTGACAGTTTTTGACTCTCTGTGGTGTGTTTTAGAACCCTTTTGTGCTAAAATTTTGCTAAGAATTACATGGGTGGCCATACTATGATTAAATACAACCAGAAACAAACATTTGGATCCTTAAAAACTTCTTTTTCTCCTTTTGAATTAGAAAAGTCATGGAGTCATTTAGAAATTTGGAAATACAGAAAAGCATAAAGAAGAAATGCACCACCAGCCATGATGGGGTTCTGATCCCACTCACTATCATCTTTGTCTCACCTGGATTGTTGTAATGGCTTCCTAGCTGGTTCCTCTGCTTTCATCTCTACCCAGCCCAGCAGCTAGAGGAGTTGTGCTGAAAAGGTGGTCAGATCATGTCATTCCTCAGCTCCAAACTTTCGATGTTCCCACATCACTCAGAATAAAACCCAAAGCACTTACAAGGGCCTGTAGCTCTGTGGCCAGCTCTGTGGTCCCCTCGGGCACACCACCCCCCACTGCTTTCTTACTCTCCTGTAATCATGGCAGGTATGTTCCTGCTTCTGGACCACCTGCCTGGGGCATTGACCCCTAAATGTCTGCAAGGCTCCTCCCTCACCTCTCAGGTCTTATTTCAAAGGGCATCTTTTCAGAGAGGGCTTCATGACTACCTCTGTAAAATCAAGGATCCTCCTATTCCCCAACCTGCTTCCTGCTATGCCATTATTATCATATACCATAGTTTATTTATTTTGCTTATTATCTCTCTTCTGCTAGAATGTAAGCTCCATAAAGGCAGAGCTTTCCTATCTGGTTTTGTTTGCAGCTGTATTTGTTTTCTAAAGTGTAACAAATCACGCAAAAATTGAATTGCTCAAAACAGCAGTCATTATTTATTATCTCATGATTCTGTGGGGATGGACTTTGGGAGGGGCTTGTCTGGATGGGTCTGGTTCAGATCTTTCATGAGGTTTCAGTTAGATGTTGGCTGGGTTGCAGGCTTCTGAAGGCTCAGCTGGGGCTGGGGATCGGCTAGCCAAGCACATAGCTCAGGGCTGCAGCTGGTGCTGGCCACTGCCAGGTACCTGACTCCTCTCCAGGAGGACCTCTCTGCAGGCCTGCATGTCCCCATGAAGTGGAAGCAGACAGCCCCCAGACTGAGGATCCAAAAGAGGAAGACACTGCAATGTCTCTAGTGACCAGGACTCAGAAGTCACACACTGTCACTTTGCCAGTCTGATTCAGGGAGGAAGGAGATGCCACAAGGGGCTGGCTGTGCAACTGCACCATCCCCTGTGTCAGAAACAGTGCCAGCACATAAAGAGATCCCAACAAACACGTTTGAACAATGAAGATATTCCACCACTCAGATTTTGAAAAACAGATTTCTTTGCAGCCTTTTCTTCTTAGCAAATATACTATGTTGTTAATTAAAAATGAGAATTATTCTCTAGATAAAAATTTATAATTTATAAATATAAATATAAACAATTGTTAAGTATATTTTTAAATGCAATATTTCATGTCTTTCTAAAGTCACGTCTTTTTGATATACAATAAGTTATTTCAACTCTCTTATCATTTGCATTTCTGTTTCTAGATTTTTTTCTATTATAATTTCATTGTGATGAACATCCTTTCACATAAAGCTTTGTAAGCATCCCCTAATATTTTCTTGGGGAGCACATCTGAGAATAAGATCTAAGGTTATGAACACTTACAATACAGCAATAGAATGATGCTGACTTACTTATTGAAGCCAAGGAATAATTGACTAAATTCTTTGACAGCTGGATTCTTTTGGCCTGAATTATCTGGACTTTTCAATATTGTTCTGCTGTCAATACAATTTCACTTCCTTTTAAGTAATCTTAGCTCTCTCCTTTTGTTTTTCATACTTTGCTTCTGTAATATGCTCAGATAAGATATGCAACACTAAAAATAGGATATGGACAAATTATTTAAAAACTGTATGGGAAGAAACAGAACAGAAATGTAGAGCGTATGGTTTTAGCAATGAATGTATTCTTGTCTGACAGGAACGGACAAAATGTTTGCCTCCAGTTTCTAAAAACTGGAATCTGAGAAGTGACTTGAGCCATGATTCACTGGAATTACCCTTTCAATTTTGGCCTGAGAATTTTTCTAGCATGAAACCTGGGTCATTGAGTAAGTCCTTTGGACCCTTGGGCCTCTGTGCAATCTCCTGGTGAGATCTCTCCTAGGCAGCTTGTGTTATGCACCCCCGCACATGGTAGGGTAACCTTAGTAATGGGGAAGTAAAATAATAGAAACTCCATATGTGAGCTCCATAAAATCAACACCTTTCACAAGATAGCAAATGATAAGACATTCTTGTGGTTAATAAGTCCCAACTGTGCAAACCACAGGATGCAATGATGCAGGAAATAGGCACTTCTGGAGAGCACCCTGGACTTGGGACTCTACAGACCATGGCTGTGTCCCACGGAATGTCTTGCCTGTCTAGGTAACAGGAATCTTGCTCCTGCTACCCAGAAAAAGGTCATTTCTCTGCTTGGTAAAATCAGCCACTTGGATTCACATTTAGGCTTTCCAAAAGGAATACTTGGGAAAAATGTGCATTTCAGAGAGTCTGTGCATAAGCTCTAATAAAACAGTATCAATTCATTCAGTATCAACAACATCACTTTAATTTTTCCTTAATATATTACTACTCCATCAATTATTTTTATGGCTAGGGTTATAATTTATGAGTGCAGCTTATAATATACAGCATCTGATGCTTTGAAGAACTGATTAAGCATGTTTGCTGCACAGAAGGCTGGACTGGATAGAATCGATTCAAGAGTGAAGTGGAGTTGATGACCATGACCTTGGTCAGGATTCTTGGGTTCACTGGTCAGTGTTAATCTTTTACTTGTTTGTACCGGATAGTTGTGAACCTGGAAACAGAGGCTCTTTGTCAAGGAGAAAATCCACAGTTATAAAGGGTTATTTAGCAAGTTAATAGCTTCATTGACTCCAAATTTTTTTGGAAAAAATTTAAAATGTACAGAAAAATTGTAAAAATAATATCATGAGCATACGCATATCCTTCAGCTGGATCGATCAGTTACTGACCAAGACGTGTGTGAGCCAGTTGCAGGCATCAGCGTACTTCAGCCCTGTGGCTTCGGCATTCATCTCCTACAGCCTTCCCAGTACTTCATCACACCTACAAAAAGTTAACACCAATTCAGTGAGGCCACCTACATGTTGTCTGTGTCAACATTTCTCCAATTGACCCAAAGCATCTATTTCAGCTTTGCTCCCCCTCCTCGCCAATGTAGAACCTAACTGAGAATCACATATTGTGTTTGGTTTTTATGTACATGTTGTCTCTGAATCCTAGACTGTGTAAATATCCTGTCTGCCCATAACCTTTTGTCCAGAAGTTTTAGCTCCCATGACTGATCCTTGCCTGAACCAGGTATTATATTGGCCTTGCAAAAATGATTGTTTTAAAATTCTATCATTTCATCTGTATTCAATAGCTGGCATTCTCTCATAAAGAATTTCTCTCTCTCTCTCTCTCTCTCTCTCTCTCTCTCTGTCTCTCTCTCGACCCATGGGTATTTTGGGGGAAGGAGGTTATAATCTATTGCCACTATTCTTCTTTTTGATGGCCAAATAATCCCAAATTTGGTGTGAGACCCCCTATAATCTAGCGCCTGTGTGGGTGTTGTATATTTTACATGACCCTGTTAGTTTATTGTGGGTTTACCTTTTTCTAAGACTTTATTACTTTAAGAATAACTTCAGGTTCAAAGCAATATTGAGAAGAAAGTATAGAGATTTTCCATGTACCCCCTACCCATATAAATACAGTTTCCTCCATTATTAATGCCTTCCACAAGAGGGTACATTTGCTACAAATGAACCTAAATTGACACCTTGTCATCACCTGAGTTCATAGCTTACCTTAGGTTCATTTTTGGTGCTGTATATTCTATGGGTTTGGAAAAATCCATAATGACATGTACCCATCATTATAGAATCATACAGATTTTTTCACTGTCCTATAACCCTCTATGCTCTATTTATCCCCTATTTTCCTTTGACAACCACTGATCTTTTACTGTCTCCATAGTGCCTTTTCCAGAAAGTTACATAGTTGAAATCATACACTATGTAGCCTTTTCAGATTGGCTTCTTTCACTTAGAAATATGTATTTAATGTGCCTCCATGTCTTTTCATGGCTTGACACTCATTTCTTTTTAGTGCCGAATAATTTTTCATTGTTTGGATGAACTACAGTTTTAATCATCCATTCACCTACTGATGGACATCTTGAGTGTTTCCAAGATTTGGAAGTTATCAATAAAGCTGCTATAAATATCCATGTGCAAGTTTTGTGTGGACATAGTTTTCAGCTCATTTGGATCATATGTTAAGAGTATTTTTTTTTTTTAAAGAAACCATCAAACTGTCTTCCAAAGTGGCTACACTATTCACATTCCTACCAGCTATGAGTGAGTGTTCCTGATGCTCTATATCCTTGTCAGTACTTTGTGTTATAGGTGTTCTGGATTTTGGACATTCTAATAGGTATGTAGTAGGATCTCAGTGTTGTTTTAATTGACAGTTCCCTAATGGGATGTGCTGTGAAGCATCTTTTATATGCTTATTTGCCATCTGTGTATCTTGTTTGATGATGTATCTGTTAAGGTCTTTAACCCATTTTTAAATCTGGTTGGTGCTTACTTTTGATTTTTATGAGTTTTTTTTCTTTTTTAATTTTGGATAAGTCATTTAATATATATTCAAACCTATTCCTCAAAGTTTGGTTCCTATTATACTGGCACAAATGAACCCAAATGTGCCAGAGAGGTGGATGAGAGATGCTGGACTTTCCCTTAGGTGCAAGAGGGGCATGAAGTTGACTGTACTTAGTGCTGTAGAAAACTTTTCCTCCTGCTGCGCTGTAACCCCAGGAACAACCACAGAAGCAGAAAGGAGGTAGGCTCCACTACAGGAGTGTTCAGGTGAAATCTAGAGAATAGTTCAAATTGATCCTATTTTAGTCGTCCCTAAACAACACATCAGTTATCAAAAGACAGACCTAGTGGGGCATGCAGTTACCACGTTGTGCGGCTGCTGTTTAGAGGACAAGAGGAAAGGAAAGATGGTATTTGAACATCCACTCTTCCGCCTTAATGGAAGTTTCGCGCCACCAAGAAGTTCTTTGCACTACTTTGTCCATAAGAAACACTGCACAGTTCAGTCTGAACTTTCAAAGGGACCAAACTAAAAGCCTTAGTCATCTGGAACAGTAATTATAATCCCAGAGGGCCGCACAGTGCCTGTTTTTCACTGGGAGATCAGCACAGCCACCCCTTCAAGACAGAAAGTTCGCTTCGGTCCCGGGCAGGAAGGCCACCGAGCATCCAGGAGAAGCCTGAACACCCTGCTCCTGCGGGGTGCAAAGGGCAGTAGAACTTGGGGACCCAGACACCCATGCTTGGTGCTTTCACTCGGGCCACAGCATGCAGAGGGTGACAGAGAGCCGGAGGGATGCGGGTGCGGGAGGGACCTGCAGGCCCTCCTTTCTGTGGCCAGGGGCGGTCACTGAACCCTTCTGACTCTGCGGCATTTGTAGTTATCTTCCGCAGCGGGTGCTGCTGGGAAGACGTCTTGTAAAATGCGGATAAAAGTGTCGGCCCGAACAGGGCGCGTCCCTTCAACGTTCAAAAGTAACTGCTTAGTTACTTTTGGGCTTTGCCGCCTTCCTGGTTGTTCTGAGCTTGTACCGCCACCAGGGCTACCCCCGGTGACTCACCCTATGGGACAGCCCACGGGCAGCGCTTCTTTCTTCCGGGACTCGTGCCGCAGGTGGGAAGCCCCCGGAGCCTTTCTCCTCCTTCCATCTTCGCCTCCCCACCACCCGCGTTATTCTGGGTTCAGAACAGAAGAGGACAAGGGCCCCGGCTCGACCCAGCCCCGCGCGCGACCCCTGGCGGCCGGCCCGAACACCCCGCAGGCTCCGGGGCAAGTGCGCGCACCGCCCTGATTTGCGCGGCTCCGCCCGAACTCCCTGCAATCCGGCCCTTTTGCTCTCCGGACCATGTCGAGGCTCAGCTGGGGGTACGCAGAGCACAACGGTGAGCGCCCGCGGGCAGACAAGACTGGGTAGCCGGGGGGTCGAGAGTCCCGCTTAGCGCACACAGCCGCCTGGACATCTGGGTCCCCTGCCCTGAGGCCTTCGGGGACGACGTGCGGGGGCGGCTCTTGGGGTGTTGGTACAGGGGTGACAGCCTGCCAGGGGTCCCCAAACACCAAACTTCACGTCAGTTAGTGCACCGCCCTTCGGAAGGCGGGGGTGGGGCGTACTTGCCCCAGTGATAGCACGTTTGGGTTAAAGGTGGTCTGAGGACACACTTTAATGACCCGAGGACAACTTCCCTTTCAGTCTTGTAAGCTCATTATTCACTCCGGGAAAACAAATAATGGAAAACACGGGGAAATATATTTAAGAAATTTGAATAACTTGAATTGCAGCTCTGAAAACTCAGGTCGCCTTCTTGGCAACCCAAAGACTACCGCTTTCTTGGTAACTATGACACTTGCCACCGCCCTGTGCCCCTGCTAGGCTCAGACACTGGCTTAGGTTCTTCCTGGAACGTGAAGGTGGAGTTCAGGCTCCTTCCAGTCTTCCCCTCTTCTTCTTTGGCGTACACCCTGCAGACACTGAGAATCAGCAAAGTGTGATTGAAATTAAAACGCGTGGGCAAAATGCATTTATTGATGGGTGCAGCAGTAATAAGACATGTACAATACTTTTCTTATCTACTTTAAACTATCAAAAGTAAAACATTTTCTTACTTTTTATGTTAAATTGAACTAAACTTATTCTTTCAAATACTATTTATTTGAACTAATTGCAAAGTTACAGCAACAAAGACTTATAGTTAATCACTCTCAAAATTAGTCCTGTGAATAATAATGATAATAATTTTTGGACTAATATGTTTATTATTGAACATATTAGTAATGTATAGTATTATTTTATAGAAACCTTACTTTCACAAAAAAATAGAAAATTTTCACTTCTTTTTCTAATTTTTTTATCCTCACCAGAGGACATTTTTATTTGATTTTTATTTTGTTGTCATTGCTCTTTAGAGACAGAGGAAGGGAGAGTAACATCCACTGGTTGTTTTCAATACACACCCGGACTGGTGATTGAACCACACAACCCAGGCATGTTCCCAGTCTGGAAACCTGCAACCTTTTAGTTCCAGGACTATGCTCCAACCAACTGAGCCCCACACTGGCCAGGGCAGAAAGGTTTCACTTCTAGCTGTAGCCTTTTGAAGTTATGATTGACTTGCTAATTAAAAATGACAACAGCTGCTCTGGCTGTTGTGTCTCAATGGATTGAGTCCCAGCCTGCAAACCAAATGGTCACCAGTTCGAATCCCAGTCTGAGCACATGCCTGGGCTGTGGACCAGGTCCTGCGGGGGGGGGGGGGCATGCAAAAGGCAACCAATGTGTGGTTGCCCTTTCTCTAAAAATAAATAAATAAATATTTTTTAAAAATAAAAAAATAGCAGGTAAAATTTAGGACTTTAAAAATGAAATGAATAATTTGGGTGGATTACTTTTTGATGAAGGCTATAATTATAATCTTACATTTTGTTAATTTCCAATTTATGTTTAGATTTCTTTTAATTTTCCTCTCTGTTGGAATAATTATTATTATTATTTTTTAATCCTCACCATAGGATATGTTTATTGATTTTTAGAGAGAGAGGAGGGGGAAAGAGAGGAAGAGGGGGAGAGGAGGAAAAATCAATGTGAGAAAAAAGCATAGATCAGCTGCCTCCCGTATGCGCCCCAACCCAGAATCATGTGGCACAAGCTAGGTATGTGCCATAACCAGGAATGGAACTGTAACCTTTTGGACAACAATCCCACCAACTGAGCCACCTGGCTAGGGTTGTATTATTATTATTAACTAACTGTTACTGTGTAACAACAGTAATTATGGTTAGGAAGAGCAGTATTTTTGATCAATGAGTTTGATTACTTTCTAATATGTTAAAAACATTGAAGCTATCTTTAGAAAGTTTAAAAACCCTTCTTAGGAAAGCCACGAGCAAAGACTGATTTCATTGTTCTCTAAGAATTGCTGGGCCATTCCCTGCTTTAGAAGCAATAGCACTCTGAGGGCTCTCCTGTGACAAAAATCCTGCTGGAAATGATGCACCCTGGCTGGTGAGTCTGATGTTCTGTTCTGCTTAGACTGACAAAGGCCATGAATGAGCAGGCGACATGAGGCCTTGGAAGTGGGGGACCACCTTCACAAACAGCTTAGAATATTTTCCACTAAACTTAGATTTATTGGCTTAGTTTAGAAAGTGTGACAATTACTGAAAACTATGTATCACTAAGGATATTCAAAAGCTCCTGAATCAGTGGAAGAAACAGCATATGAGATCTGTCCAGAAAAAGTCCAGCCATTATTAATATAATGAGAATAATTTGTGGGATATCAATGTAGCCTGGCAGCCAAGAAGAATGGACTGGAATGCTGGAAGGCGCATGAGTGAACAATGACAGCTTCACTGTACTAGTCAGTGGAGGTGGTAGATGCCATTGAGTGAGCATGGGTACTGTATGACAGTCATATGCAAAAAGACTGAGTGAGTAGAACAACTACTCTGCATCAAATTTTGTGTTAAGCTTGAACATTCCTCCTCAGAAACTATTTTGATGGTTCAGCAGGTCACAACTATCGGCAACTGGTGGTCAGCTGCTTTATCATGACAACACACCAGCTCACGCATCACATCTCGTGCAGAGTTTTCTGGTGAAACATCAAATCACCCTGGTGACTCAGTCCCCGAACAGCCCAGGTTTGGGGCCCTGAGACTTCTTGCTTTTTCCAAAACCAAAATCACCTTTGAAAGAGAAGAAATTTCAGACTATTGATGAGATTCAGGTGGCTGATTAGGAGTGGGGCGGCTGTTAGCAATTGGGAGAACTGTGTGAGGTCCCAAGGTGCATACTTTGAAGGGGACTGGGGCAACATTGTCCTATGTATAATGTTTCTTGTATCTTCTTCAATGAATGTCTCTATTTTTCATTGTGCATGGCTGGATACCTTCTGGACAGAACTCATATGTCTCTCCTTAAGAACCATGTTTAAATGTTTTTAAAGTTGGAGGTTTTGAAAAACTTTTTAAAAGGGGTCTCTTAAGAAGCAGGGAAATGAACCTACCCTAGTAGTTAATATTTAATATTGAGTATCTCAAAATGGTTCTGGTTATAAAGAACTGGAAAGAGGAGAATAAAGTAATTAGGAGGAGGAGAAAAACTATCCTGGTTGGAAAAAAGTCAACAACATGTTGTGACACACCCATTGCTTACTTGAAATCTAATTCTCTTTATGTGAAGTCATACTTGGTGACTGTGAAATAGAAAACTTTTTCACACACAAAAAAAAGACTAGATTGTATACATTGAGAGTACTAGGAAGGTGTGTGAGAATACTTAATAAATAAGGAAAAGCAATTCCTTTTCTGTAGTAAGTTGTAAGCAAGGGCTTCCGATGTTCAAGTTGCCTTGAAGTCCAAAACGTCACATTCATGAGAGAATAACTTCTGAGTTGTGTGTGTGGTTGTCTATTCATGTTGTGACATTTTATACCTGAAGCTTATGTAAAGGAAGACATTTATGCTTCCTTTTTTACCAAATGAGTAATCACAGACATGAGATTTAGAGATCGAAGTTGTTATTAATCGTGAAATATTTAACTTACATGAAATATTATTATTAATCTTATCTTTTAAAAATATATATGTTGTTAGTCACCAATGTTTAGCTAATTGTCATGCTCATTTTTGTAAGTACTTGAGTTTTGGAAAAACCGGGTAAGTTGGTTGGTGAGGAAGGAAGAGCTTAGCCAGTGGCCCTGAGCTTTTCTTAGCTGGTGGTGGCTGTGTAGGCTGCAGATCAGTGGAGGAGACAATAACCTCTGACCTGTGAGTGAGGAAGATCTGTCAATGGACCTCGAGCTTGCTTAGAACTGCCCCATTGCTGTTGATCCTGAGAGGCAGAACTCACATTGAGTCTCTCAGAGAAATGCAGAGACTAGACAAGAGAATTTTTGGCTTATTGGTTCACATCAATTTACCAAACATGTCTGATTTAGGAACTTGATGCAGCTTTGGCTTTTGAATAGACAATCAGAGTGACCATTGTCCTGTGTTTTGGAATTCAAATGTAGCATTGGCAAAATAACCACAGAAGGACCTCCTGAAATGTAGAAAAAGAGAAATAAATTGTTACCTTACTCCACTGCAGATAATCCACAATACTGCATTTCCTGACATGGTACAGCCATTGTATTGGATTATCCAAGAATTTATATATTACCTGTTACACATCACAGGTCATTGAGTGAGGGCTGGGTGATACCGGAAGATACCACCAAGTGATAGAAGAAAGGAGACATTCCCAAGAACATACTCTTTCTGTGCTTACTCAGTTCTCTAAGTTCTTCCAGCTGTAAACTTGCTGAGCTCTGCAGCTACCACAGCTCATTCCTGGAGCTGAGACTGAATCTCATTGTTCTCAGTAATGAACTGTGCTATTGTTTTCAGTTTGGTAGAATAGTACCTTTGGAAAGTACCTTATAAAGTGTACATGCTCTTTTATTTACAAGGATTTATTTAACTCTGAAAATGAATGAAAGTAAACCAGGAAGTTTCCATACCTATAGTAAGAGCAACTAGTCTTCTAAAAACAACAACACAATTAAATGTAAAGGTCCTGAGGATGAAGACCTTATTTTATTAATCCTTATTCTCTCTTCAGTCTCAAGCACAGTGTATTGCAAGCAGCAAGTATTTGTTGATAAAATCACTTGTTTAGTCCTTTTCTTTTGGTCCTGTGTATTCAAGGTCCTGCTCACTGGAATGAACTTTTCCCTATCGCTGATGGGGACCAGCAGTCTCCGATTGAGATTAAAACTAAGGAAGCGAAGTATGACTCTTCCCTTCGACCTCTTTGTATCAAGTATGATGCAAGTTCAGCAAAAATCATCAGTAACAGTGGCCATTCCTTCAACGTTGACTTTGATGACACGGAGGACAAATCAGGTTGGCTTTTTTGGGAGAGAAATGGGGGGCTTGGACGATTGGACGGTACCTTCTTTTCTCTCATATTTGAAACACTTATGCATTGTATGTCCTTGTTAGTACTTTGCTGGAACTTGTAATAAAAGTTCTGTTTGATTAGTTCATGGGACAGTGTCTTTCACATGGTCAATAAATAATGGACCAACCAAATAAACTTTAGTATTATTTATAAATAACAAATGAGCTAAATGAAAGAGAAAGGCATATATCCTTAAAAGGAATCCTTCTTTAAGCACAGATACGGTTCAGAGAAATAGATGGTATAGACTTTAGAAGTAAGACCAGAGGGAAGGTTAGAGAGAATAATATTTTAAGGCTTCTGACAAATTATTTTTACCTTTACTCTAATATTAAGATGATCCTGTATTAGCTCTACTAATGATAAATATAGTTAAAAATTTTTAATTCTTAATTGGAAGAAAGTTTTCACTTACTCATTAAGCTCAGCTTTGGTTTAATAATAATTTCCTGTATTTATGAAATGCTATATTGTTAGTAAAAAGTATAAGTCCATAAAATTTCTTCCTGATACTTGTCAAATTTGTAAAAGTGATTTATATTATTCAGATCATTGCAACAATGCACAAAGAAAGATTAGCACTTGGTATTTTCAACTTTTAGGGGGAGGAAGGATCTCACTTTTTATATATATTCACTTGTCTTTTCTTCACACCCTCAGTTGAATCTGAGTTAATAGAGATGGTTGATGTAATGGGCTCATAGATATGGTCATGTGGCAAGTAGTCCAAGGCTCCTAAATATAAAGTCACACCACCCACAATTATAGTTGGATACTGTTTATAATATCTCACATGTAAAAAACAAATAAAACTGAGGCTACATTGCTAATTCTAGAATAAGGAGTGATTAGATTGTACTTCATCATTGCACTCATGGGTCCTAGAGTATGCTCTTTTGTGATTCCCAGGTCACTTCAGTAGCAACCTTGCACTTATGCCAATGTATTTATTAATTAGGTACCATCCTAGGTATTGAGGGCACAAAGGAACAAGATGGATCCACCTTAAAGGAGTTTGTATCCTAATGGGATAGACAGAAGCTATATGAAGAGACAAGTGTGGTGGTTTTTAAATACATTTTTTTCTGATTGTGTTGCCAGTCTTACTTATTATTCAAGGCAGCTGACTACAATATAGTTTCAGAAAATGTGTAGGATTGGCAAGTTACTAACAACATTAAAAGTCAAATGGGAGTTTTCGAGTCAAGCAGGAAGCATAAGCAGATATGGTTCGCCTCTTTACACAACCACATCAAAATAACAACTGAAATATAGAGCCACCATCACTCAGAACTGCCAGAAATTGAGTCGAATGGAAGTCCAACAACTACGGAATTAAAGAAACCACATCCATCCAGACTGGTAGGACAGATGCAGATGCAAAACAGGCTGGTCCCACACTGAGTATGGTGGATAAAAATTCAGGAGGGATATATTGGAAGCGAAGAGTCCCAGACCCACACCAGGTCCCCCAGCTAGGGTTCCAGTGCCAGGAAGATAAGGTCCCACAACTTCTGACTGCAAAAACAAACAGGGATTGAGTCAGGGAAGGAACTGCTGGAGCCTTAAGCAGTTCCTCTTAAAGAACCCGCAGATGGACTCAGACTCACTCCCCCTTAGCTTAAGCACCAAGGTAGCAGCTTACAAGGCACCAGCATACTGGGAGAAACTGAAGTATTTGACATCAAGGTGAGCAGAGGTCATTGTCCCTTTTCTAAACCCTCCCCAGCAAGCCAGTGCCATTGTCTGAGCTTCCATCCACCTATCTAGCACTGTTTGACCCACCTTGAAGATCCCGAGAGACTCCACCCCATCCAAGCTGCCTTTCTATATGAATGGCTGGTCTTGGCTCATGCTGCACAACTCCCTAAATCCTTTGGAACAAGCAACAGCTGTCCTCATTGAGCCCTAAGCCCAGCAATAGCAGCAGCCAGCCTAGATTCACAGCTTGGCTTTGTCTGGAAATCTCCAAGCCAAGCACAACTAGTAGCTATCTTAGATTGCTTTATATCTCAGGCAGGGTGTCTGCAGCAAAACACAGGTGAGGGGCTGACCTTGGCCTGCACCACCTGAGAAACGCCAAGTTCAGTGCACACAGTGGACAGCTACATTCCACATTGGACACTACCACCCTGCCCCTGCATGGCTGATCTTCCACGGAGGGCAGAGGGTGATGGTAAGTGGTCACAGCCAATCCTTGCAGTTGATTGACCTGGGTAATTCCCTCCCATTGATCTGCCGACAGCAACCAAGGCTCAACTACAAAAGGAGTGTATACTCAGACGACACAAAAGGCACACCTCAAGTACCCAGCTTCAGTATAGGGAAGGATGTGCCACTGGGCCCTATAGGAAATCTACTACTTTAGGCCACACTGGCAAGACACAGAGCCAAAGCAGATCTACCTAATACATAGAAACAAGCACAGAGAGGCTACCAAAATAAGGAGACAAAGAAACATGACCCAAGTGAAAGAACAGATCAAAAGTCCAGAAAACGAGCTAAATGAAATGGAGATAAGCCATCTATCAGATGCAGAGTTCATTACACTGGTCATAGGATGCTCAAGGAACTTAGTGAGGACCTCAACAGCATAAAAATGATACAGTCATAAATGAAGGATTCACTAATTGAAATAAAGAACAATTTATAGGGAAACAACAGTAGAGTGGATGAAGTCAAGAATCAAATCAATGATTTGAAATGTAAAGAAGCAAAAAGCAACCAATCAGAACAACAAGAAGAAAAAAAGAATCCAAAAAACAAGGACAGTGTAAGGAGCCTCTGAAACAACTTCAAAAAGTCCAACATTTGTATCATAGGATTGCCAAAAGAAGAAGAGAAAGAGCAAGACATTGGGAATCTATTTGGGAAAATAATGAAAGAAAACTTTGCTAATTTGGTGAAGCAAATAGACATGCAAGTCCAGGAAGCACAGAGAATCCCAAACAATATGGATGCAAAGAGGACCACTCCAAAACATATAATCATTAAAATGCCAAATGTTAAAAAGATAAAGAGAGAATCTTAAAAGCAGCAAGAGAGAAACAGTTGGTTACCTACAAGGGAGTCCCCATAAGATTATCAGTTGATTTCTCAAAATAAACTTTACAGGCTAGAAGAAATTGACAAGAAATATGCAAAGTCATGAAAAGCTGGGCCCTACAGCTAAGATTGCTCTACCCAGCAAAGATATCATTTAGAATTGAAGAGCAAACAAAGAGCTTACCAGACAAGAAAAAACTAAAGGAGTTCATCATTACCAAAATATTATTATAAGAAATGTTAAAGGGACTTATTTGAGAAAAAGAAGATCAAAACTATGAACAATAAAATGGCAAAAATACGTATCTATCAACAACTGAATCTAAAAAACAAACTAAGCAAATAAGAAAAATAGAGATAAAATCATGGATATGGAGAACATTTTGGTGGTTGCCAGATGGGAGGGGAGTGTGGAGTAATTGGTAAAGAGGAGAGGGGATTAAGAAGTACAAATAGGTAGTACAAAATAACCATGGGTATGTACTGTACAGCATAGGAAATGGAGTAACCAAAGGAGTTATGCACATGACCCATGGACATGAACAATGGTGGGGGGATTTCCTGAGGGGAGTGGTGGGTGCTTGGTGGAGAGGGCAAAGGGGGAAAACCAGGACAACTGTAATAGCAAAATCAGTGAAATATAATGTTAAATAAATAATAAAAAAGAAAAAAGCCAAATGCAATAGAGTAACACATATGTTTCTAATTTCAAAACATTGTTGAATTTCGAGTCATACAGCAAATAACAAAGACCCTTTTACCAAGATATTACATGTCCCCCAATCTTTTATGGCATTTAACTCTGGTTTCTTAACCTCTGTAGACCTCTTATCTGAGTACATTACTTGAAACAGATTTTTTAAAAATTCTGAATGAAATGGTAAATGAATTCTATAGTATGCCAAGTACGATTTTGGAGAAATGATCTCTTATTTTTAGACTTAAATTGGAGACAGTAATATATATTTACTCATCTAGGCTGGATAATAAGATGAATAAATTGACATGACAACACTAAATAATTCTCATTAAGAATAATTTTGCCACCATTATTTATTTTATACCATAGTTTAACTATTTTATTACAAACTATCTCAAAGTCAGTGCTAAGTTAATGATATTTTGACTCGTTTTCCCCACCCTGTACAGAGCCCTGCTCTGAGAGGTAGTCTTCACATTAGGTATTTGCTGGTCATGATCACAGGGTGGATATTTTGGAGGAAACACTCACATGTGAGGTCCAACTATATAAAGTGTCAGGCAAGCTTTGCTGCATAACTAAGCAGAGTTGTGCTAATCTCAGTTTAAACTCTGGATTTAAAGCAGGCTTGCCAGATATCAACCATAATGCTTGGACTTTCCCCTGATGATGTATATTTTTTCATATCATGGTCTTTCTCCTGAGCCATCTTGTTTATGTCTTCTCCCAAAGTCGATTCCACACTGATTACTCGAGCCATCTAATCTGCATTTTAGTTGTGAAAGGGTGACTTTCTGGCTCAGCTCAGGTCTTATTGTGTCACAGAAGAGAAAAAACAGGACAACACGACTGTTGATTTCACTTGAAGACCGTTGCACCTGTGCTGTGTGCTGTCACTTAGGAAATGTACCTTTTAAGTTAGTTTATCTGTGAACCATCTTGGAGAGCTGGGCTGCTCCATGGAGTACAGGATGCACCCTGCACATCATGTTCCTATGTACAGAGCCTGACATACTCCAGTAAACAGAACAAGTCTTTAAACACGTGTTCCATACAAACCTGTATTTCGGACTCTCTCGCCTTTTAAAATGTTTTTTTTCACTCCTCATACACCTGAAAGTTGGATTCCTGTCAGCAAACTCAACGGCACATTTGTAAAACATTCCTCGGAGGACATGGACATGTTGAGCAATTCAGGGAAATGTTGTGGGTTGGGGAGCACATGGAAACACTTTCTTGCTAATAATTTAAAATATGTTCATGTCTAGTTCTGCATGGGGGTCCACTTACTGGAAGATACAGGTTGCGACAATTTCACCTGCACTGGGGCTCTGCTGATGACCATGGCTCTGAGCATGTTGTGGATGGAGTGAGGTATGCTGCCGAGGTAAGCCATCCAGTGCAGGCTCATGGCTCAGAGCTGTCTTCTCTGGTGGGAGGAAAGGAACATGGAGGACAACTTCCTCAGCCCCCAGTAGGTCCCAAGCCCATTAGGTATCACAGTCTATGAAACTGCTTTATTCCATCAGTATAAGAATTTATCAATGTATAAAGCCTTAGAGCAACTCTGAGAGTTAGGCATCTTGTGTCTATTGTAAAAATGAGCAAACTGGGTACTTGAGGAGATTAAGTAACTGATCCAGGATATATCAAGTCTATCTGATACCAGTTACAGACTCTTTCTACAATATCTGTCCTATTGCCTGAAAGGCCACTGAGAAGGGAGAGAAAGATTTGTTTTAGGTCCACCTGTATGCATATTTGGTCCAGACACAGATATATGCTTACATCATATAAAGTCCATATTACAGAGGTGATAATAAGTGGCAAAGTTCCTCTCGGGGAAAAAAATCAAACACACAAACTCTCCTAAACCCACCATTACCTCTACATTTACAGGTATGAAATGGGATCTCTGTCAATCATTCAGTCTCCAGTAAAGCAGAACACAATAAAGTGCTTCTGACTCTTTTTCACTGGGAAGTTACTCTTTCTCTTTATGATTATATTCATTAAGTAAACTCTACTTTTTCTAATCCTCTGGCTAAAGGACAAATCATATCATGCTCAAATTTTAATACAGTTAGATACTGCTAACCCCTAAGTTTACCATGAGATGGAAGTGAATTATTATATGACTTGGCCAAGGCTACTTCAGAGAGAACAGTATGTGTGATCTGAGAGCCATCTAGGCAGATAGAGGATGTTCCAGGCAGGTTTGGCATTCCTTCATTTTCTCAGGGTTACTGAACTGGGGAGTTAGGTCCTCCTTTGTAGCACATGTATATGTGCTATTTGGGGCTATTAACCAAAGGTCCATTTGCCTCCTGAAGCTCTTTGTTTGAGACCAGGGGCTCCCAGTGTGGGAGCTGCTCTGTGACAATGAACAGAGATACCCAGAATGTGGAAAGTGGGAACCTGAGTCTGTATGGTGCCTCAGTTTATATTGTCAAATAGTTTTCATGTTTACTTTGTAAAGTTTTGTGTCGAAACTTAATATATTCTAAATCTCAAAAGCTCTGTGGGGCTGAACAGCTGGCTTTGAGTCACTTCCTTGTCATTTTCCAAAACAGCTCCAGAAAAGTGGTTCCACCTTCCACACACTTGAACATGGACACTTGGGGAGGCTATTCTCAGTTGATGATGGTCTCCCAAGAATGCCCCATTATCCTTAAGTGTGCCAGAGGCTCAGAGTTCTGACTTGCAAGGATCCTTTACAGACATTCCTTGTCAAGTGGGTAAGGCTTCAACTGGAACTGTTTACTGGGCTTTAATGGGTATTAGAGGATTTTTTTCTCATTTCATTAGCTCATTTGTCCCTGAACCCCTGCATTCCTTCATTCACTCTATGAATTCATTGAGATCCCACCTCATCTCCCACTTTTGCCCAGCTTACCATGTTCATCCCAAAGGGAGTGCCGGGCAGAAGTGGAATGGTCAGCGATGCATTCCTGTGGAGAACCAGGAGCAAGCCGGGCAGTGGGACAGGCAGCAGTGGGCCTGCCCAGAGTCATGTGTGGCTCGGGATGGGAGAGAATGCAGTGTGATTAGAGCATGGACCACAGTGGGATGTGGCAGAAGCTCGGTGGCTGGAACTGGTAGGGCTGTGAACTCTATTTTAAGTGCGGGAGAGAAGTCACTGACTGTCTTTGAATTGGAAAGTGATGATTTTTGCACTTAAAATATTTGAATAATATTTTTAAGTGCAAAAATGGTCATGGCCCTGGGGGAGTCCGGGTGACAGTGTAGGTGGCCAGATGGCCAGTGAGAAGTGCGGCATCCATCAGTTTCGTTGGGTTATGGAATTTTAGGATGAAAGAAGGAGGAGGCAGGTGTGTGCTGTGACATAGGGATGCTGCTGAAGAGGTAGGAAGTCTGGTGACAACTCAAGGTTGGAATGCTGCTACAGGCAGACAGTAATCGCATGAATAATACAGGGTAAGTTCTCTCACAGGAGCATTACCATGTGATCTTGCAGAGTGACTGAGTGGTTAAAAGGGCCCCTTTGAGATGCTACATGAATCGAGACTGAATGACTAGAAGCCACTCTAAGAAAATCCAGCAAGGGGGGAACAGTAGGTATAGGTGTTCTTGGGCAGGAATGAGGTCAGCGTTTTTGAGAAGACAAAGATGTTGGTTTATAGGATTAACATTCATGAGAGATGTCAAAGCCATATCCCAGAGATGCAGGTGGGGCCATGCCATGTCAGCTACGTAATGCCTGACTTGCAGTTCAGGTTCACCCTTAGTGTAGAATGATGAAGACAATGGGAGGTTTTGAGCAGGGGGATGACAGTGCTCTGCTTTACATTTTACAAACAGCTAGCTCTCTCTGGAGAAGAGTCTGCACTAACAGGGAAGCCTGGAGACAAGATTAGAAGGTTGTGGAAGCGGTTTTTCAAGTTACTTTTGTACCTGACTTTAGGACCATCATCATGTTGTGTCCTCTTAATAAATAAAAAGAAAAAAGAAAAAAAAGAAAAGGAAAAAACCTTTTAAAGCTGTAACATATGAAAATTTGAATTGGAGCCAAATCTGATGACTTGTGACGCTACAGAAAGATTGAAGGGATGTAACTCATGAAAAGCTTCATCCCGAGTTACACATCTATGTAAAGTAAGCTAACAGTCACAGCATATTTGGAACTTTATCTGATTGCAGTTTATGCCTAATATATATAAGTATGTTAAATATGTAGTTGAGTGTAAAACTGTATTTTCAACATTATGGTGATTTTTGGCATACTAAGCATATTCTATGTGAATAGTACACAGTTTAAAAATACTAAAGTTGAATAATACTATTATTCAGAAATTGTTTTTCAGTAGGGGAGAATCTTATCATTTCCATTTTTGCAGTGGCTACAATAACTTCTTGTCCTGGAGCTTAAATCACTGCGGCTGTCACTGTTAGGAAATGTGAGTTTGCTCTTTCTCAGTTCAAACACAAATGCTAATGGAAGTGACATCAACTCCTTTAAAGGTGTTGCAGCTGTTTAAGCAAGATGCATGGGAGAGAGAAGGACCTGTTTAAAACATACAAAAGATTTTTCCTCTTCTAGTTTCCCATATTGTCTCTAACAGTTATTGCTCTTGAACTAGTAGAAGGATACTTAGTTCCTTCTCTCTTTGATTACACATTCATGTTTTAATCAGTGGTGGTTGTGAACCTAAGGGGTTGCTTCCCATATTTCTCTGTGGTGTCATCTCTTACCAAGTGCACTGGTGCATGGGCATGAATGTTGACGTCCTTTCCCAGCCCTCCTGGTGGAGCATCACTTATCCTGTGTGAGCCAAAAGGGATGTGTTTCATCATCCAGTGTCTCAGGTTCCTTCCTCCCACTATCTCATAACTTGGAACATGGAAACCACTATCTCTCTGTCTGGGTAGCCAATCTTCCTCCACTGTCTGGGAGTGGAGGGGTGTGCACTGTTTCATAGTTTTATAGTTCACTGCTTATGGTCATTCTTCATTATTCAGATTTAAAGGATGGGATAAAAACGTGTTTGAGTATGCTACATCCTCTCCCTAGCAGTTAGCTAGAAAGGCAATTTGTGCCTGAAACCCTTCATGTTTCCTCCCTGAGGCACCAGAGGAGTCACTTGGAAGTGTTATCTGAACTGGTTTCTCTCACAGGTCCTTGGACAGCATGGCCAGTCGTGATCTTGGCCATGCCATCAGGGTGTGCCACATTGTCCTGTGGCTTCCATTTCAGTTTGTCCTTCCCTTAACCAGGAATGCAGACCCTCCAGGAGTGACTTTCTGCCTTACTGTGTGTTATTCTGCAGCCTGTCCACTTGTCCATATGTGTGGTATACTGTGTTGCATATGATATGGGAGGATATGTGGGACACTTTTGGCTTTAGCAGAAGACCAGGAGCATTGGGGATGAGTTTGGAAGTTGGTAAAGCCACTTTCTGGAGTTCCAGGTCCTCCACTTCCCCCTTTCCCTTCTTTCTCCCCCCTCCTCAGTAGGACCAACTGCCTCTCCTTTCCTTCCTTTGACACCTCTGCTTCTAAGGCCGGAAAGCTCTTTTTCCCTATGAAAACATGATCTTAGCAAGGAATCTGAACATAGTCTGAGAAGGTAGTAAGTATGTGAATACTGCTTAAAATAGTTACTCTTTTGAGAAATTTGCATTTTCAAGCCATAAAAATGTAGCATTTTCAGCTACAGTGGTGAGCATCTGACTGGGGAGTCCCAAGGACCGCCGGCACTATCCTCATGGCAGGATTTGTCCCTGGGTGCCCACTGACCTCCCCACCTGCCTCTTAGTCATCACTCTGTCACTACCTGGAGACCGATCTCAGGCTGCCTGACTGAGTCCTGGGTGTGGGAAACGCGGGAGCTCTAAGTCACTTGGGGACAGTGGCTGCAGATTGTTCGGGTTCCTGGGGTGTGGCAGGATGCTCTGGAACCCTTCTAAACATCAATGTAGACATGAATATGTATAATGCATTATGCATATAAATGTACAGCCCCAGAGCATCTGTATATATGCTCCATTTGCATTTATGTTTTTGAGAATGTTTTTAAAAAATAATGTTGGAGTTAAGCTATGTTCTTTCTTTCCAGCTCCATGTCGTTCACTGGAATTCAGACAAATGCCCCAGCTTCGTGGAGGCAGCTCATGAGCCTGATGGACTAGCTGTCTTGGGAGTGTTTTTACAGGTGGTAACACACTGGTTTCAAATTTGAAATAATTAATCAGCCATGTTGGGTAGAGTTTCAGTCATGAAGCAGACATTCTATGATTTTTTAATAGCAAACTAGTTCTAGGTTTAATGTTTTCCTTATGAAATGGACATTAAAATTCTATATGTTTATAGTTAATCCCAGGACCCAGAACTATCCTAGGAGCTTTGTCTTATGATCCTTCTGGTTGTCCATTGATCATTTTAATTGACTAGCAGCAATATAGTAGTGCCCAAAGTAACAGGTAAGCTCCCAAGAAGGAAATCTTTATTCTCGGTTCTTCTGATTGCACAATTTTTAGAGACACGGGGCAGAGTGGAGCTTAACTCCCTGATTCTTGAAGCACTGGTTTGACCACAATGGTTTGTTGTCCCAAATGCAATGACCACTTTTTGCTGTATTTTTTGTGTCTTATTCACAAGAGATCAGACAGATATTACTGTGGCCACACCTGTAAGTGGGTGAGGCTGCTCTACTCCTACTGGGACCACATTCTTGTAGGGTGTTCCTTTTTGTTCCAACACCCACTCTAATGGGAAAAAAGTACATATATTTCTCTGAGGAATTCTGCTCAGGACGACAAATTACCTTAATTCAGAACCTCCAGTCATTTGAGGATGAATGTGGGACATCTTTTTCCTCTAATGCTTTGATGTCACAATAGTCTGTTTGGATGGAAGGTCTGAAAGTCACACCTGGTTTCATAGTGCAGGTATGATGGGAATTTCTTAAGCCAGGTTTCTCTCAAGTTAGCCTGCATCTGAAACATTCAAAAAGTTGAAGAAATAGGAAGCTGTTACTACCAGTTTGGGGGTGCAACTTATAGTTCGGCCAAGGAATCCTGTAATATTATTTTGTTTAGATTCTTTAAGCAGGATAAGGCTAGAGGTAAAAGATGGTGTCATTATAGAACACTCACTGTTTGTTCTGGGCTGGCTTAGGTTTTTTGTTTTGTTTTGTTTTGTTTTTGTTTTAAAGAAATTTAAAAATAGTGACTGACATGGAATAATTCAGACTTGATCTGAGACAGTAACCATTTCTTGTGAAATGTCATGTTTTCAGATTGGTGAATTTAATCCCCAACTGCAAAAGATTATTGACATTTTGGATTCTATTAAAGAAAAGGTAAAATTAATTCCTGTTGACTAATGAATAATGTATTCATTGTTTTCTGCTGCATTCTCTTACCTTCTTTTAAAACTGTAGGCCTGAGACAGCCTGTGAAGCTGTGAAGCAGATTGGAACATTCTTAACCAATAGAGCAGAAGTAACCTGTCACCATTTAGCTCCTGAAATCTATTTATGCATGATTAGTTTCTGTTATTGAAGTTTTACAGAATAAGACTTTAGCTGCAACACATTTTATTTCATTATTTATTTTTTTAAAATTATATTTGTTTATCTTTAGAGAGATGGGGAGGGAGGGAGAAAGAAAGGGAGAAAAACATTAATGTGTGGTTGCCTCTCATGCACCCCCCACCAGGGACCTGGCCTCCAACCCAGGTATGTGCCCTGACTGAGAATTGAACCAGTGACCCTTTGGTTCACAGGCTGGAGCTCAGTCCACTGAGCACACCAGCCAGGGCTAGTTGCAACACATTTTAAAACCACTTATATGAAAAATTTTGTCCTTCTCAAATAAATCTAAGTGATGCCTGATTTCCTCTAAATTTTTTAGATTAAGGCAGGTTCTCTTTTTAAAATACAAAAGGCAGCTACTAAATAATTCCATGAATGAATAAATTCCAGTGAAATTGTATTTCATTAGATGTATGTTTTTGAGGTTTCTAGAAAGGTTTCCCATTGTAATTTGTGGCATTCTCTTTTCTGCCCCAGGGTAAACAAACTCAGTTCACGAATTTTGACCCATTATGTCTGCTTCCTTCATCCTGGGATTACTGGACTTACCCTGGGTCTCTCACAGTCCCACCTCTTTTTGAAAGTGTCACGTGGATCATTTTGAAACAGCCTATAAGTATCACCTCTCAACAGGTACACCACTTCTCCAGGATCATTTGATCCTCTAGGGGAGCGATTTTCAACCTTTTTATCTCATTGCACACATAAACTGATTACTAAAATTCTGCAAAAAGTATATATTTTTGCCAATCTGACAAAAAATAGGTATAATTTTGACTCTCACTAGAAGCTATTATTGTGTTGGCTGTTGTCATTTTTTATTTGACACTCTAAGGGAAAAGAGGTCAGTGCAAATAGTCAGGTATTGCATATTTTAAAGATTCTTGTAGCACACCAGTTGAAAATTGCTGCCCTAGAGGAAACTGGGCTGAATTTTTTTTTAAACCCTGCTCTAATTTCTGCTATGCTATGAAGCCTGTGCTTTCCCCTTATTAATTAGATGGTGGTTGTACAAGATGAGATTTACCTCCCTTTCTTTTTTGACCTTCTGGAATTCGATGATTTCTTCCTCATCTCTCACAGATGCCATGTGCATGGACACACTGGTGGAAGTGAGGCACCCTGTTGAAAGCATCACTGTTTGTTTCTGCTTCCTTTTGTTTGGTCTGGGATATAAAGGGGCTGGTTACAAAGGAAAAATCAGGAGAGATGCTCCTCTTACAAAGCATTCTCCTTTCGACCTCAGTCCCTAGACCTGCCCTCCTACAGTTTTCACATTCAGAACAGAGACAGTGGGGGCAGCAAAGAAGAAATCTATGTGATTTTTTTTTTTGCCTTTTGTTGACAAAGCTTTTGTGGGGCTGCCTCAGGGGCATTAAGCATTTACTAAGAGGCTGCGGGTTCTTCCTGTAAAGACACTTCCCCACTCACTTTTCTGTTAAGTCTGCAGGCTCAGGATGCCTTTGCCCAGAAGCTCTGCTCAGGGACTAGAAACCATCTACTGACTGTCTGACAGGTAGACTGTGTATCCTGGGATGCTGAGCTTAGTGGGTTTTTATTTTATTCTTTTTGACTTACATTCTGAGAGACCTTAGCAAGAACATAGTATAGTAACTTTTGCAGCTAATAAAGTCCTTCTGTTCAGGGCTGGCCCACCTACCTATGTTTATTTTTACCTCCAAAGATGATAGCTGGTTGATCTTTACCAAGGTCATGTCAGGGAATATTTCCCCTTGCATGAGGAACATGTGCAACTTCTGTTGACTTTGTCTTTAGGATAAAAGCCAAATAGTGCCTGGGGCATACTTATTAAACATTTTACAAAGGTCTGGATAGAAATTCAGAGTTTGGCTGACACAAAAATTCCTGTGAATTTTTTCCTTTAAAAAGAAAGTGAGTTTTGTAATGAGAATAATGATCTGTCACTGAGTCAGTGGCCCTACTAACAGATTTTATTTTCTCCCTTTCATGTGCTGAAGTGTTTACTTTCACAATTCATTGTTAAATCTGAAGAGTTAGAGAAATAGTAAGAGTTAAAACATTATAATATCAAGGCAGTAACAATAAAGGGGTCATGTTTTTTCTCGTATTTCAATGAAATCTTTATTCCTTAAAGGTACTTGGAAAATAACTTTTAAAAATCTACCTGTGATTTGAAAGAGAATATATCAAAATATATATTAGTTCCTTAAAATGCATAAAGTTAACCTAAGCAATATAACTTTCTGCAGCTTTTGAAATTATGGCTGCCTAGCTGTGGATTCACTACTGTATTTTATTTGAGGCTCAATTAATTAATGTTAATTATTAATTTGTTTTTTTGTACAATAGAGTATATAAAATAATAGCTGAATTTTAGAGCTTTAGTGTGATTGGTAATTCATTTTCAAGCATTCACTTAAACTACAGTAGCAAAAACACTTTCAGACATTTTTTTGTAACCAGATTCAAATGATTATCTGAGTAATAATCCAAATTATTACAATATGATATTATAGTGATTTTAAGATGAGAATACAGGAAAAGATATTTTTAAAGTCCAATCCCAGTCTTATCCATGAGAAAAACATCAGACAAAGCCTAATTAAGGGACATTCTGCAAAAACCTGATCAGTACTCCTCAAAAATGTTAATGTCATCCGAAAACAAGGGAAGTCTGAGAAATTGTCATAATCAATAAATGCTCAAGGAGACATGACTGCTAAATGTAATGCCATTTCATGGTGGGATCCTGCAGCAGAAAAAGACATTAGGTACAAAGGAAATCTGAATAAAGGATGGGCTTCAGTTAAGTATAAGATTAATACAGGTTCGTTAATTTTGAAAATGTACCATACTAATATAAGACGGTATTAATAGAAGAACCTGAGTGTAAGGTGTATGACAAACCTTTTACTATCTTCCAATAATTATGTAAATCAAAAAATGTTCTAAAAATACATTTAAAAATCCAAAACACAGGCAGGTTGGTAAGATTATTCAGTTGCCAGGCCCTTTTATATAAAATAAAATGAAAACGTCTTTTGTGAGAAAATTTACGGGCAAGAAAGGCTGGAAAGAAGTATTCCAAGTCATGAAAGGCAAGGACCTACCTCCAAGATTACTCTATCCAGCAAAGCTATCATTTACAATGGTAGGGCAGATGAAGTGCTTCCTAAATAAGATAAAGTTCGAGGAGTTCATTGTCACCAAGCCCTTATTATATAAAATATTAAATAGACTTATCTAAGAAAAAGAAGACCAAAACTATGAACAGTAAAATTACAACACACAACTATCAACAGCTGAACCTAAAAACAAACAGAAAAACAAACTAAGCAAACAACTAGAATAGAAATAGTACCACAGAAATGGAGATCACATGGAGGGTTATCAATGGGGAGGGGGGAGAAAGGGAGAAAAAGTACAGGGAACAAGAAGCATAAATAGTAGGTACAAAATAGACAGGGGGAGGTTAAGAATAGTATAGGAAATGGAGAAGCCAAAGAACTTATATGTACAACCCATGGACATGACCTAAGGCAGGGGAATGCTGGCGGGAGGGGAGTGCAGGGTGGAGGGGAATAAAGCGGAGAAAAAAATGGGACAACTGTTAATAGCATAATCAATAAAATATACTTAAAAAAAAGAAAATGTCTTTCGTATATGCCACTGAATTACTTTGAGGGAGATAGTTTTTAATCTCGATGATGGCACCTCTTTATTTTTGAAGTTGCTGGGAAACATCAGCATTAATTTCTCAATCCCACCACAAATCTTCTTTCTAGTAAGTTGGTGACAGTATTTTCCCATTGCTCTTTTTTGTATCTGTTGATATGATCATGTGCATTTTTGTCTTTCCTTTTGTTTATGTGATGTATTATGTTTATTGATTTGCAAATATTGAACAGTCCTTGCATACCTGGATGAATCCCACTTGATCATGGTGGATGATCCTTTAAATGTATTGCTGGATGCGGTTTGCCCAAATTTCGTTGAGGATTTTAGCATCTATGTTCATCAGTAATATTTGCTTGTAATTTTCTTTCTTTGTTATGTCTTTATCTGATTTTGGAATTAGGATGAAGCTGTCCTCACAAAAAGAGTTTGGGAGTCTTCACTCTTCCTGGATTTTTTGGAATAGTTTGAGAAGGATAGGGGTTAGTTCTTCCTTATATGTTTTGTAAAATTCTCCTGTTCTTTACAGGGCTTTTGTGTGCCAGGAATTTTTTTTATTACTGCTTCAATTTCACTTCAATTCCACTGTTTTCAGTCTATTCAGGCTTTCTGCTTCTTCTTGATTGAGTTTTATGAAATTAAGCGTTTCCTGAAATTCATCCATTTCACCCAGGTTTTCAAATTTCTTGGCATATAATTGTTCATAGTAATTTCTTACAACCCTTTGTATTTCTGTGGTATCACTTGTAATATCTCCTCTTTCATTTCTTTTTTTTAAGACTTTAGTTATTTATTTTTAGAGAGAGAGAAAGGGAGGGAGAAAGAAAGAGAAAGAGACATCAATCAATGTGTGTTTGCCTCTTGTGTGGCCCTACTGGAGACCTTGTCCACAACCCAGGCATGTGCCCTGACTGGGAATCGAACCGGTGACTGTTTGGTTCACAGTCTGGCACTGAATCCACTCAGCCACATCAGCCAGGAAAAAGACATATTCTTTTTTTTTTAAGTTTTATTTTTATTTATTTCTTATTTTTAGAGAGAGGGCAAGAGTGGGAGAAAGAGAGGGTGAATAACATTGACGTGTGAGAGATACATCGATTGTTTGCCTCTCTCATGTCCTCAACTTCAGATCTGGCCTGCAACCTAGGCATGTGCCCTGACTGGGAATAGAACTGGTGACATTTTGGTTCACAGGTTGGCACTCAACCCACTGAACCACATCAGGCTGGGCTTTCATTTCTGATTTTATTTATTTGTGTTCTCTCTCTTTTTCTCTCTTTTTCTCTTGATGAGTCTGGTTAAAGTTTTGTCAATTTTATCTTGTCAAAGAATCAGCTCCGGGATTTATTGATCCTTTGAATTGTTCTTTTAGTCTATGCCATTTAATTCTGCCCTAATGTTGATTATTTCTTGCCTTCTACCTGCTCTGGGCTTTGTTTGTTGTTGTTCCTCCAGTTCTTGTAAATGTAGGGCCTGGTTGTGTATTTGAAATGTTTCTGTCTTTTTTAGGTAGGCCTGTATTGCTATGAACTTCCATCTCAGGACTTCCTTTGCTGTGTTCCATAGGTTTTGGACTGTTGTGTGTTCATTTCCATTTGTTTCCAGAAACTTTTGGATTTCTTCCTTGATCTCGTTATTGATGCATTCATTGTTTAATAGCATGCTACTTAGTTTCCATGAGTTTGAATGCTTTTTATTCCTTGAGGTTGGTTTCTAGTTTCAAGCCTTTGTGGTCTGAGAAAATTCTTGTTATGATTCCAGGTTTCTTGAATTTGTTGAGGCTTGTTATATATCCTGCTCTGTGATCTCTCTTTGAAAATGTCCCATGTGTATTTGAAAAGAATGTGTATTTTGGTTCTTTAGGATGAAAGGTTCTATATATATATCAGTTAAGCCCATTTCATCTAATGTGCCATTTAGTTCTACAGTATCCTTGTTGATATTTTGTTTGGAAGATCTATCCATTGTTGGCAATG